TATATATATATATATGAAATGACTCGGGAAGACATCCCCAACAACATATTTAAAAATAAAACAAATCGGAGAGGAAGTCGCTTTTATGCATAATTACCGCAATTTTTTCATTACGGAATAGTTTAATACAAATTAAATTTATATTTCAGTCTCCTCCTCATAGTGGCTCTGTGGCGGCCGTAGGCGCCCCTACGGAACGGCAAACCGGCCACCACAATGCAATTCGCGACCGCGCGCGCGACGCGCGCGAAAACATGCAGTCAGAGGGAGACACCCCGGAGCAAAACTTCACAAGACACCGCTAGAAGCCGCATGAAAATAATAACATTCTCGGAATAGAAAAACGGTGAACAACGGTATAAAAGGGAGCAGAGATAAGCCAACTCTGCGAATCGACTCCAAAGATAATTCACAGGACGTATCGAGGACTCATGCGCACCAGCAAGCCGAGAGCGGTAGTTACGCCGAGGAGACAGCCCCGAGCGGAATCAGCGGACGGAGCACCAACCTACGCCGAGCCGAGCACCGAGGATCTTCCGGGAGTTCACGGCGAGGTCTCGCCTCTCGACGGAGGACCGAAGCCGTCGGCGGAGCCAGCGGTGAGCGGAGGAGCGGCTGAATCTGCAGCGAGCGGAGCAGCGGTAGAACACACAGCGAGCGGAGCGGCGACTTCAAAACCAGCGCCAGCAAAATCATCGTCTCGACGCGGCCGAACACGTTTACCCTGCATAGAGTACAGGCCGTGGAAATTACATAAGATCGAGCTGCCGCCTCCTCGCTTAACGAGACCGCCACGGATATTCATCAGCCCGTGGGATCTACGTGTAAGGCGCTTCACCAGCCCACGCTACATCCAAGCGCGCCTGTTCTCCCCGATCTCTCCGTTGCCACCGTCACCGCGGTCTCCACCACGCACGGGACGGTGTCAGACGACGCAGACTTCGACCATTGAAGTACGCACGCAAGGCACGCAAACCAGAGGCTGGACTACTAGCGAGTCGGACTCAGAGCCTGAACCGGAGTGCCCATACGGTCCCATCAGAGTGACCATAACGGCACATATCTTACCGAGAGCGTAATCTAAATTGCCGCGCTTCTCGGTAGATATATTTTTACAACGCGCCGCAAGGCGCACAAACTCGATCTAAAACAAACGCTGTATATACTTGTACATATCTGTAAATATATCTCATTTTTACATATCCCACTCTCGTCTATAAACGGACCTCACTACTGCGATCCTCCACCGAGCGAAAACTCCTTCTGCGCAACGATAAAGGGTGAACGAGCCCCCATAGGCTCCAAATATTACAATTGTAACGATACGTGCCCCGCTCTTCCCGGTTCTGGTCTCCGGATTGTCGGACGGGATTCCGAAATCCGCTTGTGCTTCGCGTAGCTATCAGACGCGCGGTTCTACTTAATCGGTCGGAAGAGCGAGCGTCGTCTCGGTCGGTATTTGACGTGCTGTGTAACGGAAAAGGGATCCTCCGTTCCTCCTATTTGCCGAATATGCTCAGCTCCAGGGCCGTCGGGAGGAAAGGAGGACAAGATCTTGATTACTTAGTAGAGTCGATCGCTTGGGGGGATCGGAAAATAAGTCGTACAGGTATTTAAAGGTGAAATAGACGTGAACTAGGTTTATTCAGGAACGAATACAAAGGATCTCGTGGTGATTACAATGGGTCCGCCCTAGAGTAAAAATATAAAGGAAAGGAAAAGGATTAATATTTACAGCGAGTCCGCCCTGTGGTTAAATACAAAAGAAAAAACAGGATATGATTAATCGGAATCAATTCGGAAAAGAATGATTACAATACGGATTTCAACGAGTACGGAAATTAATGGATACAATACGGAGTTTGATCGGAGCACGGAAATAATCAGTACAATACGGAATCAACGGAGTACGGAGATAATAAGTAAAATACAGAATTTCGATGGAGTACGGAAAGTACGGAATCACACGGAAAATAATAAGTACAGTACGGATTGTTAACGGAGTACGGAAAATAGTGAGTATAATATGGCTTTACTACAAGGTATGGAGAGTACGGAATCGATACAGAATATAATGCATTTATAACGGAATACTGGTAATACTGGAATCAGTCGGGCAGGATGACTGCACGGACCCTTCTGGTCTGGAAGGGAAAAAATAATAACGGGATTAATACTACGGAGCTTACGATTAGAACTACTAGGAAATATTCTTTCCTACCCGAATATTACCCCCCTGAGTTCTATACCGGTCAGGAAACAGGAAAAGGAATCTGGTCAGGACAGGATCACGCCCGAGCGGCGCCTCGTGATGCGTGAATTTGCAGTAGGAATTGTACACCGAGGAGCACCCCGTTAGGTGTACGCTACTGCGGAATCACTCCGCCCCCCGAATCACGGCGGTACCCGTGCCTTCGGGGAAAACGGAGTCAGGACGGAACGGGAGACCGGTGCGGAGAAATTGTAGCATGTGCACGCCGAGGAGCACCCCGTTAGGCGTACGCTACTGCGGGACGGGGCCCACAACGGAGTAGAGCCTCCACTGTGTGCTCCGGTTCGGTATATAGCCGGAGACAGGAGCACCCATTCAACTCCGGCTTATACCTGCAGCGGAGGTACCCGCTGCCCGGTGTTGACGGTCGGAGCACCAAGCGTCAACTGACTTAAAACGCCTGCTCCGGAGGGGCTTTTATACCCCCCGGACGGTGGCGCGCGGGGTGAGGCGGCGGGGGCGGGCGCGGCGTTGCCGGTTGCCGTCAACGCGTGGCAACCGCGCGTTATTGATTTTCTAGCCGGCTCCGACGCGGCAACCGCGCGTTATCGATTTTCTTCGCCAGCTGACTCCGACGTGGCAACCGCGCGTTATCGATTTTCTCCGGCTGGCTCTATTGCCTTCTCTCTCGCTCGAGGAATTCGGGTTTTTTCTACACGGCCGCGCCTCCCCGGTCGCCCTCGTTACACAATTATAAAAAAGCGCATAGTATCAACTTCACAGGTGTTGCTGATGCCCACTATCGCTTTATACTAGTAGATGTTGGGAAAGAAGGTCGTTGTAGTGACGGTGGAGTATTTGCGAATAGTCCTATAAAGAATGGGCTAGAAACTAACACTTTGGACATACCTCCAACTGCAGAAGTTGGTGGAAGGAGACTACCATATTCTCTAATTGCTGATGAAGCGTACCCTCTTTCCAAATATTTGATGCGCCCTTATCCGAGAAGTTCAAATCTTGATTTAAAAAAGAAAGTTTTTAACTATCGTTTGAGCCGAGCAAGAAGAGTGGTTGAGAGTGCTTTCGGAATTTTGGCAGCGCGATGGCGAATTTTTAGACGGCCAATAAATACTGACGTTTCAAGAGCCGAAAAATTAGTATTGGCCACAATTTGCCTACACAATTTCATTATTACAAGGGAACTTAAAAAACCACCTCAACAGAGACGTTATTTACAGTATAATGAATACGACGAACAACTTGCATTGTATATTAGACCAAATATAATAAATAGCACTAATGAAGAAATGATTTCAGGAAGAAATTTAGGTGGTATTTATCGAGATAGATTTGCTGAATATTGTTTTAACGAAGGTGCTGTAGAATGGCAGTGGGATAAAGCTGCAAATAATGACTTTTAACTAGTTCTAATTAAGTTAAAATCAATAAACAACGTATGTTTATTAATGTTTCAATAACTGATTCTCATTTTTAAAAAATTCAAGAGTTCTATTTCACAAAAAATGTAAGAACTTTTTTAATAAATTATAGAGATTTTGATTTATTTATTTTGCGTGTTTTACTTATGTATTAATTTATTTTGTATTTTATTTACGTATTAATTTCTGTAATAGTAGTAGTGGTTTATTGCTTCCTTTAGGTTACAAGGCGTTTTTACGGAACGTTCCCAAACCTCTCGACTCTCCTACTCCTCTCTCTACATTTTCCATATCCTACATATATTGGCGCTTTTTCAGGGAGCGTTCCCGAACCTTTTACAATTCCTTTTCCCCCATCTCCTCGCGACCTGGCCGTAAGCGACCCTTACATTCTCTTACCCCCCTCCCTCTCGGCCCTCCCTCTGAACCTCCCTCCACTTCTTCTATCACGCATCCCTTCCCTCCTCCCTCCATTTCCTGTTTCCACCTTCTGCCTTCTCTCCTTCCATTCTGTCTCGTCTTTCCTTTCCTGCTTCCTCCTTGTGTTCCCTCTCTCCTGTGCCTCCCTTCTCTCTTTCTTCCTCTCCTCTTCCACCCCCTCTCCTTTCTCCTTCCTACAATCAAAATCAAAATTAAAATCATACTTCAAAATTACTATCTTTTTAACCACTGGCTTCTCCTTCACCCCTCCCCCTCCCCCCTTCACCCCCTGTCCCTTCTCCTCTTCCTCTCCGCTCTCATCGTCTCCTCCCTCCGTCTTACTCTCCTCTACTTCCTTCCTCTTCCCCTCACTCCTTTCTTCCTACTCCCGTCTCTCCATCCTCCATCTCACCTCCCCTGTCTCTCTCTCCTCCATCCGCTCCATTC